ACTTATGGGGCCCCCGGGCTGTAAAAGATAATGGTGCCCCCTGTGCCCCCGCCTACACTCAAGCACACCCACACAACACCCTACCTACATACAGGTGAAACTTAAAAAATTAGAATATGGTGCAAAAGTTCATTTATTTCAGTAATGCAACTTAAAAGGTGAAAATAATATATGAGATAGACTCATTACATGAAAAGCAAGATAGTTCAAGCCGTGATTTGTCTTAATCGTCATTATTATGGCTTACAGCTCATGAAAACCCCAAATCCACAATCTCAGAAAATTAGAATATTGTGAAAAGGTGCAATATTCTCAGCTCAAAGTGTCGCACTCTAATCAGCTAATTAAGCCATAACACCTGCAAGGGTTCCTGAGCCTTTAAATGGTCTCTCAGTCTGGTTCAGTAGGAATCACAATCATGGGAAAGACTGCTGACCTGACAGTTGTGCAGAAAACCATCATTGACACCCTCCATAAGGAGGGAAAGCCTCAAAAGCTAATTGCAAAAGAAGTTGGATGTTCCCAAAGTGCTGTATCAAAGCACATTAATAGAAAGTTATGTGGAAGGGAAAAGTGTGGAAGAAAAAGGTGCACAAGCAGCAGGGATGACCGCAGCCTGGAGAGGATTGTCAGGAAAAGGCCATTCAAAAGTATTGGGGACTTTCACAAGGAGTGGACTGAGGCTGGAGTCAGTGCATCAAGAGCCACCACACACAGACACCACACACAGACGGATCCTGGACATGGGCTTCAAATGTCGTATTCCTCTTGTCAAGCCGCTCTTGAACAAACAACGTCAGAAGCGTCTTACCTGGGCTAAAGAAAAACAGACCTAGTCTGTTGCTCAGTGGTCCAAAGTCCTCTTTTCTGATGAGAGAAACTTTTGCATCTCATTTAGAAACCAAGGACCCAGAGTATGGAGGAAGAATGGAGAGGCACACACTGGAAGATGCTTGAAGTCCATTGTGAAGTTTCCACAGTCTGTGTTGATTTGTGGAGCCATGTCATCTGCTGGTGTTGGTCCACTGTGCTTCATTAAGTCCAGGGTCAATGCAGCTATCTACCAGGAGATTTTGGAACACTTCATGCTTCCTTCCGCAGATGAGCTTTATGGGGATGCTGACTTCATTTTCCAGCAGGACTTGGCACCTGCCCACACTGCCAAAAGCACCAAAACCTGGTTCAATGATCATGGGATTACTGTGCTTGATTGGCCAGCAAACTCGCCTGACCTGAACCCCATAGAGAATCTATGGGGCATTGCCAAGAGAAAGATGAGAGACATGAGACTGAACAATGCAGAAGAGCTGAAGGCTGCTATTGAAGCATTCTGGTCTTCCATAACACCTCAGTAGTGCCACAGGCTGATAGCTTCCATGCCACGCCGCATTGAGGCAGTAATTGATGCAAAAGGGGCCCAAACCAAGTACTGAGTACATATGCATGCTTATAATTTTCAGAGGTCCGATATTGTTCTATGTACAATCCTTGTTTTATGGATTGCATGTAATATTCTAATTTTCTGAGATGTGGTGGATTTGGGGTTTTCATGAGCTGTAAGCCATAATCATCACAATTATGACAAATCACGGCTTGAACTATCTTGCTTTGCATGTAATGAGTCTATCTCATATATTAGTTTCACCTTTTAAGTTACTGAAATAAATGAACTTTTGCACGATATTCTAATTTTTCGAGTTTCACCTGTATTGCAGCTCAGCTGCATAGAAGGGGCATTTACATATGAGAGATAGAGGAGGAGGAGTTAGAGAGAGAGGAAGGGATGAGAGAGGAGGGGTGTGTTTTAAAATTGGGCATGGATGAAAAGGGGTGTGGTTAAATAGTGCCTCAGATGACATATAGTGCAGAATGAGGTAATGTTAAATAGGGAATGTACAGTGTGGAGTGTATGACAGTGGGTAGTATATACAGGGAGAGTAGTGCGGAATGTATGGCTATGGGTAGTATGTGTAGGATGGTGTCAGTAGGTGGTGTCAGTAGTTCTTCATTATTATTAGTATTATTTTTTTTTTACAATTTTTATTTTTTTTACAAATTCATGTTTTATTATTTTTATCATTTTGTTTCAAAATGCTTTTGGGTGGCCAGTGGATGGTGTCAGTAGAGCAATGGCATGGGTGTCAGAATTTATAAATTTTTATTATCTACTTTTTACATTATTTTTTACAATTTATTTCTGTATTATTTTTTTCACAATGATTTTGTGTAGGCAGTGGACAGTGTCAGTAGGGAGTGAACAGGAAGCACTAGTATATGTTGATCTGTCATTAGATTGGGATGAATAAACAGAACCTGTACCCCCTTATATCGGAAGGAAGGGAATAGATAGAGGGAAGGAAGAAAGAAAAGGGAGGGAATAGAGGAAGGAAGGAAGGAAGGAAGGAAGGAAGGAAGAGGAGGGAAGAAAGGAAGGAATGGATGGAGGAAGGAAGGAAGGGGAGGAAGCAAGGAGGGGTGGGAGGAAGGAAAGGAAGGAAGAAAAGGGAGGGAATGGATGTTGGAAGCAAGGAATGAAGGAAGGAAAAAAATGGATGGACGAAGTAATGAAGGTAAAGGAGGGAAGGAAGGAAGGGGAGGGAAGGAAGGAAGGAAGGAAGGAAGGAAGGAAGGAAGGAAGGAAGGAAGAAAAGGGAGGGAGGGAATAGTTGGAGGGAGGAAGGAAGGAAATGGATGGAGGAAGGAACGAAGGAAAGGGAGAGAAGGAAGGAAATTAAAGGAAGGGAGGAGGGAAGAATGAAGGGAGGGGATGGAGGAAGGAAGGAAGGAATGAAGGGAGGGAGGAAGGGAGAAAGGAAGGAAGGATTGAAGGAAAGGGAGGGAAGGGGGAAAGAAGGAAGGAACGATTGAAAGACGAGGAGGAAGGGAAGGAAAAAATGAAGGGAGGGGATAGAGGAAGGAAATGAAGGTAAGGAAGCAAAGGGAGGGAGGGAATAGAGGAAGGAAGGAAGAAAATGAATGGAGGATGGAATGAAGGAAGGAAGGGGAGGGAAGGAAGGAGGGGAGGAAGGAAGGAAAAAAGGAGGGATGAAATAGATGAAGAAAGGAAGGAAAGGAGGGGATGGAGGAAGGAAAGGAAGGGGAGAGAGAGGGAGGGAGAGAGAGAGGAGAGAGACGAGGGAGAGAGAGAGGAGGGAGAGAGAGAGAGGAGGAGAGAGAGAGCAAAGAAAAATTAAGGAAAAGTAGGAAAGGGGAAGAGGGAGGGAATGGGAGGAAGGAAAGAAAATGGATGGACAAAGTAATGAAGGTAAAGGAGGGAAGGAAGGAAGGAAGAAAGAAAAGGGAGGGAATAGCTAGAGGGAGGAAGGAAGGAAATGGATGGAGGAAGGAATGAAGGAAAGGGAGAGAAGAAGGAGGGGAGGGAGGAAGGAAGGAAATTAAAGGAGGGGAGGGAGGAAAGAATGAAGGGAGGGGATGGAGGAAGGAAGGAATGAGGGGAGGGAGAAAGGAAGGAAGGATTGAAGGAAGGGGGGGAAGAGGGAAGGAAGGAATGATTGAAGGACGAGGAGGGAGGGAATTAAAAAATGAAGGGAGGGGATAGAGGAAGGAATGAAGGTAAGGAATTAAAGGGAGGGAAAGAATGAATGAATGAAGGAAGGAAGGAAGGAAGGAAGGAAGAAAATGGATGGAGGAAGGAATGAAGGAAGGGAAGGGAAGAAAGGAGGGAGGAAGGAAGGAAGAAAAAAGGAGGGAAGAAAGGAAGGAAGGAAGGAGAGATGGAGGAAGGAAGAAAAGGGGGAGGGAGGGAAGGAATGGATGGAGAAAAGGAAGAAAAGGGAAGGAGGGAATGGATAAAGGAAGGAAGGAAAGAAGGGAAGGAAGGAAGTAAGAAAAGGGAGGGAGGGAATGGATAGAAGAAGGAAGGAATGAAGGAGGGGGAGGGAAGGGAAAGGAAAGAAGGAAGGAAGAAAATTAAAGGGAGGGGAGGGAGGGAGGGAGGAAAGAATGAAGGAAGGTGATGGAGGAAGGAAGGAATGAAGGGAGGGAGGAAGGGAGAAAGGAAGGAAGGATTGAAGGAAGGGGAAGGAAGGAATGACTGAAGGACGCGGAGGAAGGGAAGGAAAAAAATGAAGGGGAGGGGATAGAGTTAGGAATGAAGGTAAGGAAGAAAAGAGAAGGAATTGAGGAAGGAAGGAAGGAAGGAAGGAAGAAAATGGATGGAGGAGGGAATGAAGGAAGGGGAGGGAGGAAGGAGGGGAGGGAGGAAGGAAAGGAAGAAAAAAATAAGGAGGAATGAAATAGATGAAGGAAGGAAAGAAGGGGAGGGAGGGAGAGGGAAAGAAAGGAAGGGGAGAGAGGGATGAAGGGAAGGAAGGAAAGAATGAAGGGAGGGGATGGAGGAAGGAATAAAAGAGAGGGATGGAATGGATGGAGGAAGGTATGAAGGAAGGGGGTAGGAAGGAAGAAAAGGGAGGGAGGGAATGGGTGAAGGAAGGAAGGAAAGAAGGAAGGAAGGAAGAAAAGCGAGGAAAGGACTGGAAGGAGGAAGGAAGGAAGGAAGGAAGGAAGGAAGGAAGGGAGGAAGGAAGGAAATGAAAGGAGGGGAGGGAGGGAGGGAGGAAAGAATGAAAGGTGGGAATGGAGGAAAGGAAGGGGGGAGAGAGAGGGAGGGAGAGAGTGGGAGGGGGAGAGGGGGGGGGAGAGGAGGAGAGAGGAGAGAGGGAGATAGAGAGAGGAGAGGGAGAGAGTGGGGGGGGGAGAGGGGAGAGAGGGAGGGAGAGAGGGGAGAGAGAGGGAGGAGAGAGGGGGGAGAGGGGGAGAGAGAGAGGGGGAGAGAGAATGAATTACAGAGCTGCCAGTTGATCTTGACAGAGGATGCAGAGCAGATCCTCTCTCCTCTGCTCTGACGTGGAGGGTGGGGAGAGGGGCTGGACACTGTCAGGGAAGAGGAAGCATCAGAGACCTGCAAGGGAGGGGGGCTGAGCTGCAGAGGGGGCAGGAGGGAAATCCGATGCACAGTCAGGGATGATCGGTGCAGGGGAATGACAATGACAGCACCGATCTCCCTGCATGGATTTCAACGAGGCAGCTGGAAGTCTCCCTCCTGCGGCTTTTAGCTGCTTCACTGAAATCCATGCAGGGAGATCGGTGCTGTCCAGGGGTGGACTGACCATTTGGAAACTCGAGTCAGTAGGGGGCCCCATGAGATGCCCCTGGTACCTTTTTCATAGGCTTTTTTGAGTTTGGGCAAGGACACAGGGCCCCATGATCCCCTATTACCGGGGGGTCCCATGAGTTGTCAGTCCGCCCCTGGTGCTGTCACTGTCCCTCCCCTGCACCGATCACCTCAGACTTTGTTCCTGATACAAATCATCCATGGGGACTGAGTGTGTGCAGTGAACACCCCGCATCCATGGATGATATGCCTCTAACCTTCCCACTGCCCACCGGCTCCATCACCAGCACAGTGTCCGGACCGTCACCTGACTCACTCTGCCACCACCTGAAGTGACAGGTGAGCTACTTCTTGGTTGGGATCTGAGACTGCTTTCTCCTCCGCTCCCCACATTGTCACTGGACAGCGATACTCTCACGGGCCCCCTACTGACCCCGGGTCCTCGAGCAATGCCCGAATGCCTGAATGGTCAGTCCGCCCCTGATAACAAGCATGCTTTACTGCATATACTGACAGATTTTGCTGTTGTGGGTTTAGTAACACTTTAACATACAATGCAAGAAACCTACCTTCTAAACATTTAACCCTTTCTTAGAACAGACAAATCTGGTTTACAACAGATAAGGGACTGATGTGAATGTACAATATATATGTAAAAGCGCTGCGTAAATTGATGGCGCTATATAAGTATCTGAAATAAATAAATAATGAAAATCAGCCAGCACAGTACAGCCAGGGATAATTATTGCAGCTGCCCAGCCTCCTCCTCATAAATAAAGAGAGCCAGTATGATTTTCCAGTGATGGAATTTCCAGAAAAGAACATCTACATAGGTAAGCTGAGTTTAAAGTAAGTAAGCTAATTCAAAGTAGCTGTTATCCCTGTTTAGCTGCAAACGTTGAAATACATTATAAAGGGAACAGGAGAAATTGAAAAAATACATTAACATGACTATACCATGTTGATATTGTTTTCCTCAGTACAGCAGAACAAACTTCAATAGTCCAACTCTATGTGATCTTACCTGATATGTGTAGTCCCCTCTGGAATACTTCATACATTGTCCTGGCATCATCATAGTAGTGTGTGAGCAGCTTTGGGCCATCTCCTAACACAGAATGGCGAGCACCATCACCAGCCTATAACACACACAAAAAGATACTGATAACAAATCATGTCATTTTACTGAATTGTCATCAGCTTGATATGAAAATAAGAGACATAGCTAAGCTTTTCAAAGCATTGTGCAAGTAACTCAGAGCTTTGGTAAATCATAATGCCTACTACTATATTTGCAAGCTTTAATTATAGTTTTGGCTAGAGTGCGAAAGGTTTAGAACCCCTGTCAGGTTTTTACAGCTTATGGGCAGGTACCTTTCGCTGGGCATGCGCTCACCAATGCCCGGGACCAGGCAGGGACTGCGTTCATGTGATAATCAAACTTTATGGTGATTTCTTATGAGGGTTTACATCATCTCCTGTTTAGGGGTCCCCAGTGGTGGGCCCCTATGACGGGTTCCATGAAGGTCACTCTCCGGGCATGGGACAATGTTCAGAGTATCATGCAGCCTGAGGGTGTTGGGTGCTCACCGTCTACCCCTCTTTGGTATAATCCCTGTCTCCCGCATTTTGGTACCATTCCTGATCCTATTATATAGGCCGGTAGGGGGAGCAAACAAATCCAAGATATTATAAGGGCGGACAGGCTACTTACCCTTGATGAATTGAAATCTAAGTTTCAACTCCCAAATCAGTACCTGTTTTGTTACTTACAGTTACGACATGCCTTTATATTCCAGTTTGGTACCACTCTCCTACAGATTTGATCATCAGATCTGGAGTGGTTGTTGGGGTTGGATGTGCTTAAGAAAACTCTGGAGGTCTACAAAGAGCTTTTTACGGTCAGGCCCCCTTGAAAGGTGCAGAGAGGGGTGCATGTCAATGATACCTAATTTCCAGGGAGACGACTCGGATGATATGTGGGACTACCCTTCCACCATTTGGTGTCAGCCAGGGACCACCTCCTTCATAATAAAATACTGCATAGAATCTATTACACACCTGCCAAACTGGCTAAAATTTATAACTCCGTTCTAGCCGCCTGTTAGAGGTGTGAACACTTTTCGGCAGATTCTGAGCATGTCTTCTGGAACTATCTACACATACAAGGGGGTGGTCCGAGCTTTGTGAAAATCTCACCGTTTTTCAGGTACCTATGACTATTTCTGTATATCTACTGGGCTTGGTGGAGGAGTCGGCAAATATCAGGGCTTAGAAAACCCATCTCACCATAACCTTATTTTATGCTCATAATACAAATGTATTGCACTGAAAAAAAACAGAGGTCCCCACTCTCACATTTTGGAAGGCTCTCATTAACAAGGCGTTGTCTCTGTATAAGGTCACCTACATAAATAGAAGTTTCCCAAAGAAATTTTAAAAAGTATGGCATAGTCAGGTCTTTCATAAATCTGTGCTTTAATGGAGTGGTCTGGGTCTAACATTGGGCTCATGCGGACTCTCTGTCAGGGAGGCTTTGACTGTCATTTAAGAGACTACTTTCACCCTAAGGTATCCACTGTTATTTGCCCTGAAAGTATAGCTTTGGCTTAGTTGAACATGCTGTGTGGTGGATGTCACACTGTACTTGTACTTGTGTCTACTTTGATCTCTGGACATGATTCTTTACTAGAGCATTACTTTTGGAGGTATTGCACGGGGGATTTTTACAATTTTTTTTTGTTATTTGTATTATGTTTTGTACCTTTTATGTGCAAAATCAATAAAAAGAATTAAAAAAAAAAAAAAACAAAAAAAAAAAACTTTCTGGCGGTTCTCCAGCTTAGAGAAGAGCCATGCACTGTCTGTAGTAATGTGACAGAGTTCCTCTGTAAAGCCTTCCATCCCATACCACTACTCACCTTGCTTGTTATGTGTTGCATTTAGGAGGGACATTGCTGGGTTGTGCCCTCTCCACCCATCCAGCGTACCTCTGCCACCTCACTCCCAGTGACAGAATGGGGTCCCACCATGAACTTAGCGCAGACCTCATGCATGCACTTGGTAACTCACTCACATCCGCACTATGCGGCCAGGCTGTGGGCCTCCTTAACGCATGTTCAGTCCAGGTCACTTTGGGAAACTGACTACTTCGGATGGAGCCAGATCACAGACCCCTCACTACCGGAGGACCTGTCACCTACACCAGGTACCACACTTCCTGACAGGCCGCAATGTACCTTGCAGTAGTTCTGAGTTACCCATAGCAGCTGCATGTCTCCTCCTACTCCTCTTGCCAAATAAACCTTTTTTAGTGTCTTTGATTCGTACCCCACTTGTGCTTTACTGACCCTAGTTCTTTCATACGCAAGGAACCATCTAACTCCAGACCAGGCTTAGAACAGTTGATGCAACTTTACTGAATGTTCTCTGGCACAGTCCAACATGAACAGTTCAATGCAACATTCCCTATCTGTGTCAACTAGGCTGCCCAGGCATACCTCAGCAAGTTGGCGGTTCCAGGGCTTGACGGTTCATCTGGGCTTCCGACAGACTGCAGGGTGCAGCAAACCCCCTTGGGAGCTCCACAGCAATCACGGCATCTTCTGAGCAGGCTGATGTTATGGCACCCAGCCTTTTCCCTTATTTATAACACAGTGTGCATAGGCTAGGTCCAATAAGCCCAGGAACCGAGGTGCAGAACATTAACTCCTTCCCCGGCCTGGGCCAGCCAACTGCCTAGCTAACACTCTGTAGGCAACCTGCCTACAAGCTGTTACACATTTTCTTTCTAGTAGAGACATTTCCCCTCACTTATTATCAAGGTGACCCTGGAGTACAGGAAGCCTGGAACATCAGTCAGCTTTTTATTGCTGATATATGGGAACAAAGAAAGCAGGCTTAGAACTAAACTGCTGCCAAATCATTGTCTACAAATTTTGAAATATACAGCTTTTATATCATACCAAATTTTAAACTTGGACTATACCTACAAATATTACAAAAGCAGAAAACAATTCTGCCAACTGTGAAGCAAGGCCAAGAAGATGAAGTATACTGTATGTGCAATGTCTTTGACATTGGGAAATACCACAGTCAAAGCATACAATCATATAATACACTGACCATATATTCAGCTGGCAGAATACTGTATGCTCAATTTAGGTATTATGCCAATATATCTTTATTTTTTTATTGTTAGATGCTATGCTGAAAGTGGTCATCTAACATTACCCTAAAGCCAAAACATAATTAGCAGTTTCTTTATGTACACTCCAGATGGTTTGACCTGATAGCTTATGAAGGTGCAAAAGTGTTATCTGTTCTTTTTTACTTCAATTATTTCAAAATATGTCACTGTCTTTTATTATTCAGTGTCAAAGTCTAGTCTTATGAGTGAAACATGTGCCCACTGACAACAAATAAGCAATCTTAAAGCAGAATTAAAGCCTCCTATCCTTTATAGCCAAGGAAGCTGCCATCTTAGCCTCTGTTTAGATCGGCAATTGCCATGGTGTTGAAACACCAGCCATTTCAGGTCCGTGCCAGTTTTTTCTTTCTTACTCTCTATTTCCATTTGGAGGGGAGGGGGTTAGCTTCACTCCCTGTCTCAGTGACACACGAGGAAGTGAGAGGAAAATTCTTCCAAAGGAGAGTGGATTCTCCTGTTAGACAGCGGTCACAGGATCAGGTGCTTCCATTGGAGCATCTCACCCCTATTTCAGTTCCAGTACCAGCTGTAAAAATTTAGATTTCCCAACATTGTCCCTCTGATATAATGGTCCACATGACAAATAGGAAGACTTCCTCCATTTTGGACACAGACTGCAGTAGGAACCCGACTACAGTTTCTAACTATTCCCCTAGGTTTTAGCATTTAGTTATAATTTACCATTCAGAGACTATGATTACCTCAAGTTCTTCTGACTGCATTAGGAGGTTACATGGCGGTTTCACAGCTTTGGGTCTACTAGCGAGCCAGAATGCAATGACTGCGGCAAAGGCACCTAATCCCAGTAATGTGGCCGCTGGCACACTGCGGAGGAACTGATTGAAGTCATCAAACTCTAGGAGCCTCAAACTCTGCAAGATCTCTTTTGCCTCCATCTTGTCAATTATGGAAACTGCAAACTCTATAGGATAAAAGACAAGAGAACATAGTAAGTGACAAACAGGTGCTCAAACCATTTCTAAATATCGACTCAAATATAATACAAGGACATGTCATGATGTTTACATGGTAAAATTCATCAAATGAATTCCATGTGTTAAAACCAATCAGGTTTATTTAACAAGGTAAAAACCACTGAACAAAGAAGTAACCCATAGGTCTGTTCTATAAAACTGGACAAAAGGCAAGTGAAACAAGTATGAAACTGCTGCCAATAGTATGCACTCAGATTGTATGAATACTGATAAATGTCAGTATACATCTTTATCTATGTTGCCTATGCTAAGCAAAGTAACAGAGATGGTGCACACAGGCAACGCAAGGCTCACATACAAACTAGTCTGCTGTTAGACCTTCCTCCTGCACTAGGCTCAGGAAGCTCTTCCAATGTAAAAGCACTTAGGTCTAGATAGCATAGAATAGTGGGGTGGGGAGAACATGTATTATATGTTCCCCATACCCGAGAGGATTGAGTATTTCTGGTGGCAGATCACAGCATTGGAAGAGAATGCGGGGAAGGTAAGAACAACCAACTTATGATACACCTTTTGCAAAGAACCTGTCACTTTGTCTAGCATGGATAAAGTATCAGTTCATCTAAGCAGTATATTCAGTGATTTCATTTGTATTAGTAAAGCCCTTTTGAAGAGAGACAGCACACAAATGATTCTAAGTAGCTGCTAAAATGTTTTGAGCACATATGGTGAAATAGTTTAGGTATATCCAGATCAAACATATGGTCATTTTGGAGATTAGAGCAGTTTATTGCGTAGGTAAACAGATAATCAGCCCCTCTATGCTTGTTTTAATTCTGTTTCCGAGCTAATGGCTTCTCGACTTCATTTCACCGAAACTGTTCACCCTTAAGGGCTCGTTCACACTTGGCTGTTTTACCAACGCTTGCCAAACGCCCCTATAGCGTTTGGCAAGCGTTGGTCCGGCGTTTGTGGGGCGTTATTAACGCTCGGCAAATGCTCCGCAAACGCTCCGCAAACGCGGTTTAGTGGCGGTTGCTAGGCGTTTGCCGAGCGTTAATAACGCCCCACAAACGCCTATAATACAGTTTGAGTGGTGTTACCGCTCCGCAAACGCCCGCAAACGCGTCGCAACCGCACCGCAAACGCCGGCCGGGCGTTTGCGGAGCGGCACCATAGACGAGAATAGGAGGCTTCAAAGCCTCCTGACTCGACCAGAGGCGTCCGTTTTGCTGCGGCGCAACGCGACGCGACGCAAACGCTCCCGTTAGAACAGCACCATGTGCTGTAATGTGCAGAATTGGCAGAGGCGTTTGGGAAGCGGTAAAAACGCTTCCCAAACGCCTCTCTGCCGCCTGCACACAAGGCTAGTGTGAACGTAGCCTAAGACTAATATTCACTTATATAGGACTGCAGTTGGTGCTACTATATTTTAATTAAAAAAAAACATATTATGTATAGGAAGTAAAAATAAAATACAGATGAAAATAAAATTAATTGTGACCTATAATATGCATACCCATAGTAACAAATGGATCAGAAATTAGAAAAGACTCAAATCCTATTAAATGCCTTCGAAATTCCAAGAGGTCATCATACTATTCATTGTATAACAACTGTAGCCTTTTTGTTTATTATTTTTTAAAGGCAGGTCATCCACAAGTCAAAGCTCATTCTATAATATTTGAAATCCTTTAAAAATGTTTGGTTTTAATAAATTCTTATTAAGCAGTTTGCAATATTATACTATTTACCAGTGTTTCTCAACCCCCTTTCAGTCAAGACACCCTTTAAAATTCTGTGCAATCTCGAGGCACCCTTTACAATTCTGCACAATCCCGAGGCACCCTTTACAAAATGTAAAAAAAAGTAAACTAATAGTTTTACAGAATGCAGCAACATCTGCACATGTGAGACACCCAACTTTTCACAGTGGTACTGACTAGCATTTTATTGTTCTTCTCCCTCTGTTTCTCTCACTCAACTAAAGTGACCCCACTGCTGACAGAGAGGGGCAGGGGAGGGGCAAGCAAGTATGCTATGTGGGGTGCCCAATGTCCTTCCTATCAACTGATGACATCATTACTTTTTTTATGTTGCCGGTGGCTAGAAAGTTGTATTGGTGTACAATGCAAACCTGTGAATTTGTGTAACTAAAATGCAGGCTTGATCCACCTACCAACTTGTATACAGTTTTTGGGCAATTTTTAGGCATTTTGCCAAGGCATCCCTGATGAAACCTGAAGGCACCCTGGTTGAAATAGGCTGTACTATACAATGTATTATACCTGAGTATAATTACTTGTCATATCTTTGAGTAAACAAAAGTATATATCTTGACATATGGCATAAAGAGAAATTACAAATATGGGTATAACAAATACTCGCAAGAAAGTATATGGCATCAAACCCCAATTACATATTTCAATTGAAATGTGCATTCCTGTTGGGTTGAGCTCCAATGGTACAATGATCTTTCAAAGAACTAGCAACAACTATAATATCCTGCCTCCCTCAGGCATTTAAATATAGTCCTGGCGGGGGGGGGGGGGGGTTCCTTTCCACGGGACACTCATCCAACTGTGGTTGAGGCAATAAAGAGAGGACAACAACTACAAATATAAAAGATTCGAAGCAGAGAAGGTAGTGTAGAGAAATGATGTGTGTGAATTAAAGAAAGGATAGAAATGAAAAGCAGTGAAAAAATGGTCAGGGTAAAGAATTGGAATTGGACCAGCTCCCACATACAGAGCAAACCTTGATTTATCTGACTTTAAAATATTAAATTGTCCATAGCATCTTGTTAAAATTTGCCCCAAAGTAGCTAGATATTCACATGTTCCAAATCTTTAAATGTATTGCCTTTGTCATGTAGAATAGCTGCCAGATTTTCATTAAATAAGTGCTTTACATTTTTTGCTTCTCCTGCACAACTTCCAGAGTTCTAGATTTCCATGTTCTTGCTAGGGTTTGTTTAGCGGCAGTGAAATTGAAGGACACAAGTTTGAAATGATTTGAGGTACACAAGGAAGTATGTAAGTTTAGTAAGGATTAGTAAGGATTTTTAGGGGATGCTGTCTCCTAAGGTAGTGTAATTCGTATACTCTAGTGCAAAACCTTTTATTTATATGGCATTCCCACCAAACATGTTGTGGAGTGCCATCTAAGCCACACTCCCAAAACAGTGTTCTGAGCTGTCCAGTGTGAATTTTCTTAACTTTTTTTTTCTTCACTGACATTGGCATAATGGGATGTGTAGGATTAGTTAGTGCCTGTGGTGGCTAGTGAGTCTTGTTATAAAATACTGAGCAAACCACTGCACAACAGCTGATCAACTGCAGAATGAGTTCAGAAAATCCTTCTACGCATAGCTCGCATGTTCACTAAGCAGTGTCATTAAACACACTCCATGGATCCTTTCTCACTATTGGTGCTTGGAAACTGCAATCATCTGACTCCAGTGCTTGAGAGTTTATTGAATAAGGATGTCATTCTTATTCAATAAACTCTATTGACATTCTATTGTTACACTCTCCCAAATGTATTATTGACAAATTCAATGGACAGTGAGATTCAGCTGTAAAAGCCAGAGCAAAAATGTGGTGTTGGGTGCACAAATCTCCCTGCAAAAGGTACTTCTAAAATTTATCATGATTTAACCCCCAACATTTATTCAAATCCACATGATCAATTTTGTGTGGGTTAACCCACTTTGTGATCTGAGCCAATTCTTCAAACAAGTTGCACAGTTTTATAAAGGCATGACCATTTCACAAACACATCCGCCTTTGAGATCTGAATATCTAGACCTGTCAAAATCAAGACAGTTGAGTAGTTTGCAATTACAAGTTCATTTTAGGCCTACTAAGTCAATTCATGGTGCCAATCAAATTGTTCTTACAAAGATCTGTCATTTTCCTCCTGTACTTAGCTCTGTTGGACGCAGTAGCTGTACACTTCAAAACAATTGCTCTTTGTGGAGGACATGGCTGTCAATTCTAAATAACAAGCTATTCTGTACTAAACATCCCAAAATATAACAATCGTCCAGCACTCAAGAGAATATCATCATCACACCTAGTCTCTATAAAACACTACTGTATGCAAGGTGCAGTTTCTAAACACTCTACTGCTTTGTGCTTTGTAAGCTGTACAATTTTTCTGGCAAATATATGGATTTTTATTATGAGAAATGACCGCCACATATTTAAAGCTTAAAAGTGTAAAAATATGTCAAAACGAAAATATTAAATGTAAAGGTATGCACTTGGGGGGGGGGGGGGGGGGGTAAATCATGCATGCATTATACATTCTCAGAGGAGAACAACCGGAGTTATTGACCCAGAAGAATCTGGATGTTCTGGCAGATAATAACTTAAAGAATATTTTACCCCAACATTTCATATTCCTGATATGTGCCTGTTGTACCATGTTCTTGTGTTAAAAAGTATCCTGTTCTCTTTGTATTGCTTCCTTTGTGTGAAATCCCTAGTGTTCCTGACAGTACCTCTGCTTTCCTATTTCAAACTGACCACATTAGGTATAGAAGCACATCCATCACAGTGTAGTCAGTTTTTAGGTTGTACTGGGAGCACAGTCTTCCTATCCTTGAATGGCCACGATATGTGCTGACATGCCACCCTGCATAGTCATTCATTGTTGCCCCCCCCCTTCTTTAAGCCCCTTATGCAGCTTTGAACAGAGCTTATGTAATCAATTAAAAAAGATAAAAAGGATATTTATAATGTGTGTGTATGTGTATATATATATATATATATATATATATATAGAGAGAGAGAGAGCTTTCTTTAAGCAGGCACCTCCTGTACTGAACACATGTAATGGAAAGGGCTGCTGGGGTGTACTGGATGGTCTATTGATGCTGGCTGCTGGAGGATCTGTTGTTATTTGAGGGGATCTATTTTTATGGGGGGTCTATTGTTGCTTGGGGTCACATGTTGCCGGGAGGGATCTACTATAGAGGGAGGGGT